CACGGCTGAGACACCAACATTCCACAGACACCAACACGTCACAGACACCAACACGTCTCAGACACCAACACGCCACAGACACCAACATGCCACAGACACAAACACGGCTGAGACACCAACATTCCACAGACACCAACACGTCACAGACACCAACATGTCACAGACACCAACACGTCACAGACACCAACATGTCACAGACACCAACACGCCACAGACAGCAACACGCCACAGACAGCAACACGCCACAGACACCAACACGCCTCAGACACCAACAGACACCAACACGTCACAGACACCAACACGTCACAGACACCAACACGCCTCAGACACCAACACGCCACAGACACCAACACGGCTGAGACACCAACACGCCACAGACACCAACACGGCTCAGACACCAACACGCTTCAGACACCAACACGTCACAGACACCAACACGCCTCAGACACCAACACGCCTCAGACACCAACACGCCTCAGACACCAACACGCCTGAGACACAAACACGCCACAGACACCAACACGCCTCAGACACCAACACGCCTCAGACAGCAACACGCCACAGACACCAACACGTCACAGACACCAACACGTCACAGACACCAACACGCCTCAGACACCAACACGTCACAGACACCAACACGTCACAGACACCAACACGTCACAGACACCAACACGCCTCAGACACCAACACGCCTCAGACACCAACACGTCTCAGACACCAACACGCCTCAGACACCAACACGTCACAGACACCAACACGTCACAGACACCAACATGCCTCAGACACCAACACGCCTGAGACACCAACACGCCTGAGACACAAACACGCCACAGACACCAACACGTCACAGACACCAACACGCCTCAGACAGCAACACGCCACAGACAGCAACACGCATCAGACAGCAACACGCCTCAGACACCAACAGACACCAACACGTCACAGACACCAACACGCCTCAGACACCAACACGCCACAGACACCAACACGGCTGAGACACCAACACGCCTCAGATACCAACACGTCACAGACACCAACACGTCTCAGACAGCAACACGCATCAGACACCAACACGCCTCAGACACCAACACGGCTGAGACACCAACACGCCTCAGACACCAACACGTCTCAGACACCAACACGTCTCAGACACCAACACGTCTCAGACACCAACACGTCACAGACACCAACACGTCACAGACACCAACACGCCTCAGACACCAACACGCCTCAGACACCAACACGCCTCAGACAGCAACACGTCACAGACACCAACACGCCACAGACACCAACACGCCTCAGACACCAACACGCCACAGACACAAACACGGCTGAGACACCAACACGCCACAGACAGCAACACGCCTCAGACACCAACACGCCTCAGACACCAACACGCCTCAGACACCAACACGTCACAGACAGCAACACGCCACAGACAGCAACACGCCTCAGACACCAACACGCCTCAGACACCAACACGCCTCAGACACCAACACGCCACAGACACCAACACGGCTGAGACACCAACACGCCTCAGACACCAACACGCCTCAGACACCAACACGCCACAGACACCAACACGCCTCAGAAACCAACACGTCACAGACACCAACACGCCACAGATAGCAACACGCATCAGACAGCAACACGCCACAGACACCAACACGCCACAGACACCAACACGCCTCAGACACCAACACGTCTCAGACACAAACACGGCTGAGACACAAACACGGCTGAGACACCAACACGTATCAGACACCAACACGGCTGAGACACCAACACGTCTCAGACACCAACACGTCACAGACACCAACACGCCTCAGACACCAACACGCCTCAGACACCAACACGCCTCAGACACCAACACGTCACAGACACCAACACGCCTCAGACACCAACACGCCTCAGACACCAACACGCCTGAGACACAAACACGCCACAGACACCAACAGCCTCAGACACCAACACGCCTCAGACAGCAACACGCCTCAGACAGCAACACGCCTCAGACAGCAACACGCCACAGACACCAACACGTCACAGACACCAACACGTCACAGACACCAACACGCCTCAGACACCAACACGCCTCAGACACCAACACGGCACAGACACCAACACGTCACAGACACCAACACGTCACAGACACCAACACGCCTCAGACACCAACACGCCTCAGACACCAACACGTCTCAGACACCAACACGCCTCAGACACCAACACGTCACAGACACCAACACGTCACAGACACCAACATGCCTCAGACACCAACACGCCTGAGACACCAACACGCCTGAGACACAAACACGCCACAGACACCAACACGTCACAGACACCAACACGCCTCAGACAGCAACACGCCACAGACAGCAACACGCATCAGACAGCAACACGCCTCAGACACCAACAGACACCAACACGTCACAGACACCAACACGCCTCAGACACCAACACGCCACAGACACCAACACGGCTGAGACACCAACACGCCTCAGACACCAACACGTCACAGACACCAACACGTCTCAGACAGCAACACGCATCAGACACCAACACGCCTCAGACACCAACACGGCTGAGACACCAACACGCCTCAGACACCAACACGCCTCAGACACCAACACGTCTCAGACACCAACACGTCTCAGACACCAACACGTCTCAGACACCAACACGTCACAGACACCAACACGTCACAGACACCAACACGCCTCAGACACCAACACGCCTCAGACAGCAACACGTCACAGACACCAACACGCCACAGACACCAACACGCCACAGACACCAACACGCCTCAGACACCAACACGCCACAGACACAAACACGGCTGAGACACCAACACGCCACAGACACAAACACGCCTCAGACACCAACACGCCTCAGACACCAACACGCCTCAGACACCAACACGCCACAGACACCAACACGGCTGAGACACCAACACGTCTCAGACACCAACACGCCTCAGACACCAACACGCCTCAGACACCAACACGCCTGAGACACCAACACGTCTCAGACACCAACACGCCTCAGACACCAACACGCCTCAGACACCAACACGCCACAGACACCAACACGCCTCAGACACCAACACGCCTCAGACACCAACACGTCACAGACACCAACACGCCTCAGACACCAACACGCCTCAGACACCAACACGCCTCAGACACCAACACGCCTCAGACACCAACACGCCACAGACACCAACACGCCTCAGAAACCAACACGTCACAGACACCAACACGCCACAGATAGCAACACGCATCAGACAGCAACACGCCACAGACACCAACACGCCACAGACACCAACACGCCTCAGACACCAACACGTCTCAGACACAAACACGGCTGAGACACAAACACGGCTGAGACACCAACACGTATCAGACACCAACACGGCTGAGACACCAACACGTCTCAGACACCAACACGTCACAGACACCAACACGCCTCAGACACAAACACGCCTCAGACACCAACACGCTTCAGACACCAACACGTCACAGACACCAACACGCCTCAGACACCAACACGCCTCAGACACCAACACGCCTGAGACACAAACACGCCACAGACACCAACACGCCTCAGACACCAACACGCCTCAGACAGCAACACGCCTCAGACAGCAACACGCCTCAGACAGCAACACGCCACAGACACCAACACGTCACAGACACCAACACGTCACAGACACCAACACGCCTCAGACACCAACACGCCTCAGACACCAACACGTCACAGACACCAACACGTCACAGACACCAACACGTCACAGACACCAACACGCCTCAGACACCAACACGCCTCAGACACCAACACGTCTCAGACACCAACACGCCTCAGACACCAACACGTCACAGACACCAACACGTCACAGACACCAACACGCCTCAGACACCAACACGCCTGAGACACCAACACGCCTGAGACACAAACACGCCACAGACACCAACACGTCACAGACACCAACACGCCTCAGACAGCAACACGCCACAGACAGCAACACGCATCAGACAGCAACACGCCTCAGACACCAACAGACACCAACACGTCACAGACACCAACACGCCTCAGACACCAACACGCCACAGACACCAACACGGCTGAGACACCAACACGCCTCAGACACCAACACGTCACAGACACCAACACGTCTCAGACAGCAACACGCATCAGACACCAACACGCCTCAGACACCAACACGGCTGAGACACCAACACGCCTCAGACACCAACACGTCTCAGACACCAACACGTCTCAGACACCAACACGTCTCAGACACCAACACGTCACAGACACCAACACGTCACAGACACCAACACGCCTCAGACACCAACACGCCTCAGACAGCAACACGTCACAGACACCAACACGCCACAGACACCAACACGCCACAGACACCAACACGCCTCAGACACCAACACGCCACAGACACAAACACGGCTGAGACACCAACACGCCACAGACACAAACACGCCTCAGACACCAACACGCCTCAGACACCAACACGCCTCAGACACCAACACGCCACAGACACAAACACGGCTGAGACACCAACACGTCTCAGACACCAACACGCCTCAGACACCAACACGTCTCAGACACCAACACGCCTGAGACACCAACACGTCTCAGACACCAACACGCCTCAGACACCAACACGCCTCAGACACCAACACGTCACAGACACCAACACGCCTCAGACACCAACACGCCTCAGACACCAACACGTCACAGACACCAACACGCCTCAGACACCAACACGCCTCAGACACCAACACGCCTCAGACACCAACACGCCTCAGACACCAACACGCCTGAGACACCAACACGCCTGAGACATCGACACCTGGCCAATAAATTGATTTCACGATTAATTTGGATTTATTTGAATTTAACGTTCAAAGGTGTCCTTCACAAAATACATCAACAGAAACGATAAACAGATGAATCAATAATGAAATGCCTGCGGGACGTACCACTCCCCCGACCACCAGCACGGTCATCGACGCCCGGGAGGTGACGGAGACCAGACCTGTCGCTATGGAAACCACCATCTCCTCCTTAAAGCTGGATCTTTCCTGCAGAGAGAAACGATGTTGATGTGTTTTCATTGTGTGAATGTTTTAAACAAGGAAGGTTTCCAGCACGGTACAAACCTGCAGTCGTGGGTCGGAGCTGCTCAGTGCTCGCTTGGCCTTGGTGGTGCCGATGAAGCGGGTGACGAGGGCGGTCCAGCCCAGAGAAAACTGGAAGTTGATGTTTTCATGGAAATCTGCACAGAGGGTGGCAAGGCCGAGGTCATAGGTCAACTCGAAGGATGAGGAGGGAGCAGAGAGCTGCTCCTGGACGGACAGAGACAGCAGAGGACGGACGCTATCTGAGGACAGAGGAGACACACAGCCGTCACGCTGCCTTTTCATGACGATGAAATGTGTAAACAAAGGGAGACGTTGTACCGATCATCTGTCTCTGTGCGTCTCTGACGTCTCTGAGGACGCTGACAGAGCAGCGATGCGCCAAACAGCCGACCATCCTCTCATCCACGTGCTGCAGCAGCTTCTGAAGAGGACAAACAGAGACGTCTTTATCAGCTTCATGTCTGACTTCAGAAGATTTATATCAAACTAACAAATAACCAGTGGTGGACAGTAACTAAGTACATTTACTCAAGTACTGAAGTACAAATATATTTCTACACATCTCAGAGGAAGATTTTGTACTTTTTACTTCACTACATTTATCTGACTGCTTTAGTTACTTTACAAAGTAAGATTTATAATAGTTTAGATTTTTTTTGCTGAAATTACTCAATTTTAGCTTCAAATTCTTCAATTTTAGCATCAGTTTTAGCTTAATTTTTCTACTTTAATTCTAGCTCAAATTCTTAAATTTTGACTTCAATTCCTGCTTTAATTCTACACCTGAAACCATTAGTTGATTGACCGAAATTTAATTGGCAACTATTTTGATAATAATTTTTTAATTTTGTTTGTCAAGTCAGCAACCCGTGATAAACATAACCATACTAATAGTACTTTTGAAAATTTATGAAGTATTTTTAAAAGCAGATACTTTTGTACTTTGACTTGTTAGAAATTTAAATTTTAGATGAGGGTACTTTTACTCAAGTAAAGGATTTGTGTACTTCATCCTCCACCGCAAATAACGCATTATGATGAAGATGGCTATTTTCTTTTGTCTTTTCAAGTTCAAGTTTATTTATCAGTGATTCTTGAGATCTGGGACAAAACATGTCCACCAGTTTGGGTAAAACATTTACATAATATTATTCATAAATTTAACTAGAAAACTAACAGGACAATTTTATTTCATATTGTTTTATATATTTTTTTATTATAAATTATATAATATGTGACGAGTGCCTGTAAAAATCCTTGTCTGGAAGCAGGTGTCATTACATTACAATAGCTTAAAAAGAACTAAAAGTAATGCAAAATTAAACATTATACTTACTATTTGTTAGTAGTTCAGTAAATATTTTAATAGGTATCAAAAGTTACAATCTGAAATAGATTTTAATGTACTTTTTAGAAGATTCAACTTGTGTCCTAGATTTTTGTCAACACTGTCAGACATTTTTTTAAATAAAATTGAAGGCTGCTAAAACTCTTTGTCACTTCCTTGTTCTTTCTAATGCTAGGAGACCACTCCAGCTCCGGTAAGTTGTTTAGATTCTATATATTTCATTCCTACTTGTTGATACCTTGCATGTCACAACCGTAGTGTGTCAACACCATAATTAATGTAATGCAAGATTTGTATCATGTTTTCTGCCATAAATTCTTAATCTATGTAGATTATAGAGGTCACAAGCAACTCATGATAAACAAGATGGCTCCTGTGATGAGCACATGTGTTCTGAGGGGAAATATGCTATTTTGTCAACTCCGTCAGGATTTGTGTCCGACGGTGTTGACAAATGCCAGTGAAGTGCATTATTTTAGTATATATTTACCTCCTGAACATTTGATATTACTGTAATTCAGTTTTATGTGTTGAATTTCAAGCTATTGCCACAAAATAGCTTTATGTTTTGAATTGAATCTCATTTTCAAAGCCTCTCAAGTACTCAATATGTCATAATGTGTTGCTTATGCTAATCCATCAGAAAAGTATATAGTATATATGGTGTATATAAATATTTTACAATAAAAATAAATAATAAATTGGGATTTAATTTACATGACCCTTTATTTAACTGACAGAAGTACAAAGAAAAGATTTTCAATAGTTTTACTGATCAATGTAACTGTAAATTGTAAATATAAACAAAGTTTAGTGAAATAAATGTTGAGCCAGAGGCTTGTTTACCTTTGGGTTACCTCACCTTTCCTCGAATAACAACTAATCGTTTGGCAAGTGAAGATACTAATTGTGCCAGTTTTATAATTGGAATGTTTGTTATTTCCTGCTTGATAGCTGCTCAACAGTTTGTGGTCGTTATTGTCTGATTCTCCTCTTAGTGATGCGCCATATATTTTCAATAGGAGACAGATCTGAACTGGCGGCAGGCCTTTAAAAAACACGCAATCTGTGTGTACGAAGCCACGTTGTTGTAGCCACTTTATTCACAGGCTTTTTGGAAAATATCCCAACGTTTCTGGAGATGAGGTTTGTAGTTTGTGTATAAGCCGCATATATTTGAAGAGGTTGGACTTTACAGTGGAGTTATGTTCATGGACTATTGTCTAGTCCTTGTACTCCTTTGAGATGTTAATCCAAAAAAAGATTGGTTATATTATGTATTTTGTTCGTATCTTATAATGTTACAATATTTGTAAGAGTTTAATGATAATTTTGAATGAAATATTTTTCTGTTTCTTACAAGTTTGTCACCACCGTCAGTTTTGTGTCAACACCGTCAGATGGAGTTTATGTTGTTTTTAAAAAAAAGATGATATATTTTGTTCCATCGAGAATATTTCTCTATGACATTGTTGCATTTTCAAAGTGAATTTGTAATTTGAACACTTCTAAGTATCTCTGTTCATATTGGAGATTAAATGTTATATTGGTTAATACATAGAACTTAAACCGTAATTATTAAACAATGACAAATCTAACTTTTAAAAGGAGATACGATTCATTTAAAAACATGTGTATACAATGAAGAGAACCAAGAAACAGTTAAGAGTAAAAATATCTGTGATAAGGTCATTCAAAATAATGTTTTTGACGTTTCTATGTTTCTGATGGTGTTGACAAAAATCTAGTTCTGATCCTGCAAACATGTCATTTGACAAAAATGTAAAACTGGGAGGTTGTTCTAAAACATGAGCAAAGCCTCATTTAACAAAGATGTATACATGTTTTTTTGAAAATGATCAAGTGTTGTTTTGTCCCTGATCTCAAGGGTCACTGTTATATAGCACATTTAAAAACAACCCGGGTGACAAAGAGTTTTCCACTTTTGTAACATACTGGAACTAATAAACATAATATTTAGTTAATAATGTAAACTGTAAGAAAACACACACACTGTCAGTCAAAACATAGACTTAATTATCTGTCCCCCAAAAACAATGTCCCATGTCTGAACTATACTGTCACAGTACTTTTCTGCTCCACCAATCAGAGGGTCAGGACAGCCTGTCTGAGAGGCAAAGAATCAAAACACACCCTGCATGTTTGTGCTGTAAACTGGATTGGAAGTAAAGCAGCTTACTGTGTCGTCAGTTCCTCTGAAGCAACATTTAGATCGAGTGTGACTGTGTGTGTGAGAGATAAGCTTCAGGCAGGTGTGTTCAGGTACAGTGAGGTCGCAGAGTCAAAGAGAGTTTAAAGGAACTGCGTTTAGAGAAAGCCTCTCTGTCGGACAGAGCTACTCACGCAGGTTCCTACCACCTCCGGTCTTTGTGCTAAGCTAGGCTAAACATGTGCCGGACTGAAAAGGCAGCGTTAACTTTGAACCTTGTAGCAGAGGTTGACTGTATGTGCCAGTGACAGTAGTGTTGCTGCAGCACTCACAGTTTTGTAGAGCTCCAGAGTTTCTTTTGTCGGGTTGAAATCGGCTCTGAACTCGTCCACCAGAATAGGAAGAGAACAGATCTGATCGGACAGCGCCGCCGCCACCTGACGACGAACCATCCACACAACAACATGAACACCAGAGACACAGTCCTGCTGGACCCTAACTGTGGCTATAAAGAACATTTTACACTGGTGTTTAGTGATAGATCTGCGAGAAAAGCTGCTTGATGTACATAATATATAATGAATACGCTGTAAAAGCTAAACGTGTTTCGGCTGATGTGTGAACATGATTTTGCACCTTGGCAGCGACCTCATCCGCCAGAGTCTTGATCGTCTCTCTGACGTTGTTGGTCAGACGGTTAATTTGTCCCCGAACAAAGTCCAGCCGGTCCCTCTGGTCCTCACGCTCCTCCAGGCAGCAGATCCTGTCAAAGGTCAAAGTCAGAGACTCTCTGTGACTCTAGAGAAACGACTCTGTGGACATTAGTTGCTCCTTTTGTTAAAGAGGAAGTGCGTGAGTTTGAGTTCCTGACTTCCTGTCGGCGGAGGCGATGTTGATGGCGTCCATCAGACCTTTGATGGCCTCGGTTATCTGCCACGCTCTCACTGTGTGCTGTTCAAACTTCGTCTTCACTGCAGACTGAGAGATGAACTCCTGCAGGGTCAAAGGTCACCAGGGGTCACATGTCTCAGGCTCAGTTTAATCATCAGTGTTTCTGCCCAACTGAAATACTGCGTTTACATAGTATATACACTGAGTTTTGTGGTACCTCAAACGTCCTCTCAAACATCTGGAACTCTCTCAGTCTCTCATGGAAACCTTCAGCCAGAGCGCCACCTACAGGAAGACACAGGTCTGAGTCAGCAGGTACCTCCAACACATTTTGACACCAAATGTGCAAATAGGGCCCAGATTTAAAAATACCTGAATTATCCATGAAATTCAATTTTAGCTTTGATTTTTACTTAAATTTTAACGTAAATTCTCCAAATTTAGCTTTAATTTTAGTTTAAATTCTTAAATTGTGGCTTAGATTTTTACTTCAATTTTAGCTTAAATTCTCCAAATTTTGCTTTAATTGTAGCTAAATTTTACACATTTAAAGAAAGAAATCATTTACATACTTCAATTTTAATTTAGCATAAATTCTTCAATTTCAGACTTAATTTTACTCAATTTTATCTTAGATTTTTATAAATTTTAGCTTAAATTTTAAAGCTTAAATTCTTCAATTATAGCTTTGATTTTAGCTTAAATTCTGGCTTAAGGTACATGTATACATGTATGCTTGTATGTGCACCTGTATATCACATCCACCTCCGACATAATAACAACAACAACAATCCTTTGCAGTCTGCTCACTGCACTATTGTCTCAATCTGTCTGTTTAGTTTATAGTGTGTATTTATGTGTTCTCTGTAGTACAGCCTGTGTTTGATTTAATTACTGTATTATTGTGTTATTGTATTATTGTATGAGTAAGCACATTGTGAGCAATGTACAGTCCAGAGTCAAATTCCTCGTATGTGAACACATACCTGGCAAATAAAGCTGATTCTGATATTTAGCTTAAATTTCAGATGAATCTTTCAAAATTTGGACTCAATTTTAAATCAATTTTGGCTTAAATTCTAGCCTTAATTCTTCCATTTTAGCTTTGATTTTAGCTTAAATTCTTCAATTTTAGTTTCACTTTTAACTTAATTTTTATCTTAAATTTTTCAATTTAACTTAAGTGTCTGGTGGGGGTGGTGATGGCGTAAAGATAAGATGCCTTCCTTTGGTGTGGGAGACTTGGGTTCAATTCCCACTGTGAGACATCCACCAATGTGTCCCTGAGCGAGACTGAGCGAGCATTTTAAGTCGCTTTGTAATTGTAAGCGTCAGCTAAATGAATAAATGTACATGTAATGTCTGAGCAACAAGAGATTTAGGTTACTAAAATATAAGAGAGAAACAGAGAATCCTGTTGTACACTGCACAAATGACTTAAACAATAACTGACTGAACTGTTGCCAACTCATTTTTGCGTAATTGACTCCTGGTTTCAGCTCTTTAGTGACTGTGTATTCAGAAACACAGACTGGGTGAAAACAATAACGTGCATCTCAGAAAATATTTATTTCCGCTGAGTGACATCATAACTTTCTGACAATCATAATGACTGTATTATAACTCCATGTTGTCGTATGCCTTACAAAGGGCAGACCTGCTCTGTGTGAAAAGCACAATGAGATCAATTCTATTATAAAACTTTGTAATTGTAATATACTAAATACACATTTAAAGAAAGAAATAATTTCAGAATAGCCTTATGGTGAAGAACGCGCAGAATAAAGAATAATAATAACAGCTCAGTGTAAAATTCTCTGGACACTTTGAGAAGTCTGTGTTGAACCTGATAGACACAAACATCAACAGTCTGTGTGATGAAAGGAGGCTTCTCCTCCTGATGTCCCCCACCTGGCTCACCTGGCTCACCTGTCTCAGGCATGCCCTGCGCTCGCTGCATCCTGGAGCTCAAAACCTCTTTGGCCGAGACGAAGAAGATTCTCCCGGGCGCCTCGTCCATCCCGACTACCTTCAGCTCCTCAGCCAGGAAACTCACACAGCGGTCCGTGTGCTGCTTCCTCACCTGGACAGCAGAGTGAGGACACAGAGAGGACATCCCAACTTCCTGAACTGCATCCATGTTTCCCTCACATCTCAGTCGTTACGAAGACACGATGAAAGAATGAACAATCGTCAGTTTGACCTCGGCCCGAATGTTTTCTCACATGTGACTGAAAATAAATTATCTGCATAACAATGTATGTGATATAAATTAAAAAACAAAAAAACATTTCTAATGAAAGAAGTTGTTTGTTGTTCTTTTGTTTATCAAACCAATTATATATAAATATACACAAGTTTAGTTATTTAGTTATCAAACAATCCAAGGATTTTCTGTTGTCGTGGTGACAAAGCCAGCGTTTGAAAGGACAACTCTTACGTTTGTGCACCAGCTTCACAATAAAAGCAGCTGCTGGAAAGTTTGAGTTTAGACTGAGGCTGGGTTGGTCACACACCCACCTCCTCAATGTATTCAGGTTCGCTCACTGAAGCGTCCCATCTGTTGTGAAGGATGAAGATATTCGGTTTGGAGATTCTCTCACTGACTTTGTGGAAGAACAGTTTCTCCTGCAGACAGAAAAATATAATACATGATATAATAAAAGACTTGTATAATAAATATGTCACACACACACTGACTGAAGTCATTATGATCTATAATCTATGATGTATGAGATCTTCAGGTGTTCCCTCACGGTGTTCATAAGCGTCGACTCAGCGTTTCCCACCAGAACAAAAACGTCAGCGTCCAGACAGAACTTATCGATCCAGCTGTCCAACTCCAGAGTGACATCAGTGCCAGGGCTACAGAGCAGAGGTCAGAGGTTAAAGGTCAGAGGTCGAGGAGCAGAAAATGTCCCACAGTGAGGCACACTGAAGCTGAAATTGAAGCTATAATGAAAGTTAAAAATTCAAAAATTTTAACTGAAGCTAAAATTAAAGTTTAAATTGAATTTGAAGCTAAAATTTAAGTAAAAATTTAAAGTGAAGCAAAAATATAAGGTAAAATTGAAGAATTTAAGATAAAATTTAAGCTAAATTTTAAGAATTAAAGCTAGAACTGAAGAAAAAAATGAAAGCTAAAATTGAAGAGTGGAACCTAAAATTGAAGCAAAACTATAAGCTAAAGTTATCCAACGAAGGTTAAAGTCCAGGGCAGCTGGACTTGGTTGAAGATACTGGAAGACGTTTCGTCCCTCATCCAAAGGACTTCTTCAGTTCTGACTGACTGGCAGGGAAACTCAGCTATTTAACCTCAGTGGGGTCGTTGGCCCGGGTCATCGATACCGCTGGTTCGTTAGTGTTCCTTGTTGCTGTGACGACAGTCGTTACAGTCGTTAAGACTACCTGTGGCCGAGACTGAACGACCATCGTTGGTATCTTCACCTGAGGCCAATAGGTTACGTTTGTTGAGTTTCCTGGGAAGTGATGAAAGGACAGCATTGTAAGTGGGGGATAAGTGGTGGCGTAGACCCCCTCCCCTGTTCAATGACGGCTTCTCCACCCTGGTGTAGATGCTTCCTTAACACCTCTTTCAAACCATCCATCTTCTCTGTCTAAAGTCCTTTTGGATGAGGGACGAAACGTCTTCCAGTATCTTCAACCAAGTCCAGTTGCCCTTGATTTTAACCTTTGTTGGATAACTATGATCTGGACGACTGAGAATCTTCATAGACAACTATAAGCAAAAGTTGAAAAATTTAAGCTAAAGTCAAAGTTAAAATTGAAGAATTGAAGCTAGAAATGAAGGAAAAATTTGAGTTAAAATTGAAGAATTGAAGCTAGAAATGAAGGAAAAATTTGAGTTAAAATTGAAGAATTGAAGCTAGAAATGAAGGAAAAATTTGAGCTAAAATTGAAGCTAAAATTGAAGAATTCTAAAACTAAAGCTAAATTTGAAATTGAAGCAAAAATTGAAGCTAAAATTAAAATAGGATTTGAAGCTAAAATATAAGTTAAAACTGAAGAATTGAAGCTAAAATTTAAGTAATAATTGAAGCTAAAATTAATTAAAAACTGAATCTAAAATTCAAGAATTTAAGCTGGAATTTAAGTAAAAAAATTAAAACTAAAGCTGAAGAATTTAAGATAAAATCAAAGCTAAAATTCAAGAATTTCATCTAAAATTAATGCTAAACTGAAGCTAAAATTTTAAATTTAAGTAAATTTAAAGTGAAGTAAAGCAACTCAGGTTGATTGTCTTGCTCAGGGACATGTTGATGGATGTGTCTCAGTGGGAATTAAACCTGTGTCTTTCACACCAAAGCCATGTTTCTTATCCACTCACGAAAGCTAAAATTGAAAGCAGCTAGTGAGTCAGTGACGAGTGAAGTGAGACAGCCGTCGTCACGGATACAGGCAGTCTCGTGCAGAATCTAAACACAGATGCAGGCCTGACAGCGATCAGTAAATCCTGAGCGGTGATGTGAAGTGAACAGCACTAGGCGTTCTAGCGTGTTACCTGTCCATCAGCACCAGGTCGTCTCTCAGCAGAGCGCAGCGGCTTTTAGGCCAGAAGACTTTAACCAGACTGCCAGAGTCCAGAGTCGGATCCATGTGGAGAGCATGTGCCAGTTGGTTCACCGTCTGAGGAGGAGGAAAAATGTGGAGGAGTTATCAGTAGGTCAGCTGATTCAGACAGAACATCACCAGAATAAAAACAGTCCGACATCTCAGTAAACCCTCAGATCCGTTTCTAAGTCAGGGTTCACCGACATGTCCGACTGTTCCTTTAAAGGCCGTTTGTCGTACGGTGACGCTCCTCCTCTCATTGGTCGCCTCGGTGGTGAGGTAAGCCTCGTCTCCGTCGGTCCCTTCAACTCTCAGGAAGCAGTTGGTGGTGTGACCGATGCCGCTGGGCAACACTCGGTCTCTCAGCATTGCATTTATCACGGTGCTCTTCCCGTTACTGGTCCTGAATCAGACACATTAACCGCCATCAGTTATTGCACAGCAGCTGTCATTTATTAAATTGGTGTTTTATTACGACTTCCTGTGTGAACGGCATTCAAAGGCTGCAGTGGAGCAGATTCTAAAATCTGTAGCAATTCAATAACGAGTAACTGCAGCCATTAAATAAATTCACTCAACTCAAAATTGTAAGTAATAAGTGCTTAATTAATTTAAGCCACTGTGAGTGAACCTTGAGGGTGAAATTGAAGTTAAAATTAAAGTCATAACTGAAATTAAAGCTAAAATTCAAGTTAAGATTGAAATTAAACTGACAATTTTTTAGTTGAAGTTAAAACTGAACTTAAATTGAAGCTCAAATTGAAATTAAAGTTACAACTGAAGTTAAGTTGAAGTCTGTACAAAAAAGCTCCAGAAAAAGCCAGTAAGTGAACCTTAGTCGGGATTATTTTGTTGTTGTAATTTGAAACTATTTACAACACAAAGCATGAACTTCAGAGTTTAATTTTAAAGTTGAATCGGAGAAGCTGCTGTGCTTTCCTCAAGAAACTAAACAACTTCTTGATTCTTTTTACTTTTCAAAACATCATATTATATTTGTTGAGCTGCTCCTGTTTAATGGACATTGTTTACTGTCTCAGCACTGCGTAGCTTTAGAAACGCTACGGAAGCCCTGAGAGCCAAATGAGAAAAAATATTCTGGTGTCTGTTTTTAATAGTTTTATCTCCTGTGTTTTTACCTGTTTGTTAATAATTCAGGCCACATTTCAGTTTGATTTTACTAACTTTGTTTATTCTCATTTGTTTCTTCTAAGTCTAAAACTAACTAAAAAAAGGATCAAGAGTTTATTGTTGTAATACTCCTTTCGGCCACAAGAGGCTGTAGTGCACCACTACCCCAGTTCAAACTTGGACTCACAGCATTCATGTTTTATTCCTTCTATTATTATAAACTATTTAGACTTATTCTCAGCAAGTGAGAATATTTCCTAAAGAAATACACAAAGTCAAGTAAGTTAAAAACAAACTGAATTGTGGGCTGAATTATTAAAAACATGTAAATTAGTTTACAGGGAAACTCACTTCCTGATGAGTTATTACATCATCCAGCAGTTATTACATCATCCAGCAGTTATTACATCATCCAGCAGTTATTACATCATCCAGCACGCCCTCAGCTTCTTGCTCATCACATCTCGGCCGTTAATACTCCGAATGTGTTTCAGCCGAAGCAGGAAGCCGCAGCAGTTTGTAAATCAGAGATAAGTTTATCTGACAGTTTGTCTCAGCAGCACGACTCAGCAGAAAAACTGATCTCAGGTCAGCAGACAACAAACTTCTGTGACTTTCCCCTGCTGTTCTTTGACAGTTCAGGTCGTTTGTGCTACTTGCTGTTTTACTGTCTATCTGACTAGTTCTTCTTTTATTCTCGAACTGAAGCGCTCAGTGTGAAACGCGAACCGCTCTGTTTCAGTTTTGATGCTTTCTGTAACTTGTTTCACTGTGACGTGATATTACAGAAAAGTACGACACTAACGTTGTGATATTGATTTACAGTAATATGAACGGATGTTATCGCCGTGTGGATATGAAGCGTGGTTACCGCCTCTCCCATAGCAACCACTTATCACCTGACCCCTTCCTGTACTTTTACCTGCCGAAGAACGCCACCTTCATGTGCCTCCTGAGCAGGACTTCTCTGATGGTCGACAGTTTGGTGGCACAACTCTGCATCTCCAGACTCTGCTCCTCGACGGCCACCTGACCCAGCTCGTCGCCCCGCCACGCCTCTGACATCACAACAAACAAAATACCGTTATCGTGGCTGAAAATATCCGACGATGATCAAAGTTTCCAGAGTTGCTGTTACAGAAAATCACAGCTTGATTTCATTAAACTGTTTCTTCTAGATTCTGTTCATGTCATCACACATGTTCTTCTGTCCTTTGTGAAAGAAGTTAAACTCAATCGATGAGCTAGCATAGCCCGATCTCTGGTCTCTGTTTGACCTCTGGCGGTTCATCAGAATCAAACTAATAAATGTGCCAGCAAGTGGCGACTCACGGGTTCAAACCTTTCCACAGCACAGCGATTTCAAAATACTTTCAGACATGTTGTTCAAAATTTGTTTTGAAACGAGTTTTCTGATGACTGGAGAACTAATTTATGATCCATTAGGTGTGCAGCGCTGACTTAACGTGATGCATGCATTGGCGGTGCTGCAAAACGTCATTAAACGACAACGACGACATTAAAACCTCGCGGGAGAAAGGCGGCTGCAGGCGCCAAGTCCGGCGGCCACAGTTAGTTTCCCCGACTGCACCAAGCTGGAACCACACTGTTGCCTGATCAGTCACTGATCTCACAGTAAGCTCACGCAGGTAGACTGTGTCCGACTTGACGGCGCCGTTTTTATTCCCCGCCCCTGCAGTCATCTGTAGCTCATGCTAGACTATCAAGGCGAAAGTCAGCCGCCGGCATCCTGAACGCACCTATAGTCTAATTTGTGTTATGCCCCGCCCATTTCTTGCATTTGTAGCGCCCCCTAGTGGTCGATGTGAATGAAAGGTTTCGGGTGTGTGTCCGGTACAAAGTGGTGGTGATGACTTTGGTCTATCTATGTAGTGAGCCCCCCCTCCCCCCCGACTCATCAACAGCTTTATAGTGAGCCCCTCCTCCCCCGACTCATCAACAGCTTTATAGAGAGCCCCTCCTCTTCCGGTGGACCTTATTTTGAACAGTCAACGAATTTTCCTGAATTACACATGTGGTGTTTGTCAGTTTAAAGACAATATAAATCAGCAAAGTCGGCTTTTAAGAGCAGTTTGGAGTTCTGTTTCCTGCTCAAGGACGCTTTGACATATTATGGCTTTGACATTGGCAGACCGGAGGACTCAGGGATTGAACCACCAACCTTCTGCTTACAGGACAACCGCTGCGCCTCCTGAGCCACAGCGAACTCCACCAGTCACGTTATGTTTATATCTCACTTGGGATTAGATAAAATAACTTTAGCTCACGCAGACTGACCCACACCTGAGAAACCACCGGCACACCTGAGCCTGTGTGTGTGTGTCTCACCGTCCACGAAGGCGGAACCGTCCTTCACAAAGTCCAGCAGCTGATCAAAGATAGAGGTGATCGAACGCTTCGCCACAACGAAATGCTGCAGAGGAGACGGATCCGCGGCGTCCATGACACCTGACACACACCCATCAAACAGGGTTACACACACGTTAAGACAAAACACACACTGCCGGTCTACAGGTGAACACACGCAGAGCAGAGCGCGTCTGTACCTTGTTCAATGTGTCGCTCGGGTTCAGAGGTCAGTCGTGTCTTCGGGGATTCGTCTCAAACGAGTCGCGGTCAGCTCCCATCATCCCTCTGTTCAACACATCGACCACATCAGACTCACAACTGATCCTCAGCACGCAAAGCTCAGCTTACTGTGTGTGTGTGCAGACAGATCCTCTTAGCAGGACTTAGAGCTGCTTCACCTGACTCACCTGCAGCCTCAACCACCTGCTCACGCTCACAGGTGTGTTTTATTCAAGGTTCATTAACTCTGTTTCAACTATTTTCCTTCTCGTACTTTAATATTTTAATAAACACCAGGATATTCTTTCACCGTAACTGTGCACACATGTATGGAAACCCATTTCCACCAGTAAATGTTTTTAGGCAGGATAATAAAAAATGCTCATGTTAAGTCAAAATTATGAAATTTTATCTCCTAAATTAGATTTTATCCTCCTAATTTTGACTTATTTTCATTTTCTCTTATAATTATGACTATCAAACTAATTTGACTTATCTTCCCCAACATCTCAGAAATTTGACATTTTTCATTTCAACTTTTGACCTCATAATATGACTTTTTATCTCCTAATTTTGTCATTCTTTCTCATAAATTTCATAACTTTTTATCTCATAATTATGACTTTCCCCCCTCATAATTATGACTTTGTATCTCCTAATTTTGACTTTTATTTCATTATTTTGACGTTCTTTCTCATAAATTTGACTTTTAATTCAACTTTTTATCTCTCAATTTTGACTTTATCTCTCCCAATACTAACTTTGTCTCATAATGTTGACATTCTTTCTCATATCTTTGACTTTTTTCATTTAAACTTTTGACCTAATAATTATGAATTTTTATCTCCTAATTTTGACTTATTTTCATAATTATGAGTTTGTATCTTTTCATCTTATAATTATGACTATCTCCCCAACGCTTTCTAATAAATTTGACGTTTTTCATTTCAACTTTTGCCCTAATAATTATGAATTTTTATCTCCTAATTTTGACATTCTTTGTCATGAATTTGACTTTTTTTTATTTCAGCTCGACTTTTATTTGCATAATTATGACTCCCCCCTCCTAATTTTGACTTATTTTCATTTTATCTTATAATTATGACTATCAAACTAATTTGACTTAACTTCCCCAACATCTCAGAAATTTGACATGTCACATTCATTTCAACTTTTGCCCTCATAATATGACTTTTTATCTCATAATTATGACTTTTATTCACATAATTTTGACTTCCCCCCCTCATAATTATGACTTTGACTTTTATTTCATTATTTTGACATTCTTTCTCATAAATTTGACTTTTAATTCAACTTCTTATCTCCCAATTTTGACTTTATCTTTCCCAATACTAACTTTGTCTCATAATGTTGACATTCTTTCTCATATCTTTGACTTTTTTCATTTAAACTTTTGACCTAATAATTATGACTTTTATCTCCAAATTTTGACGTTTTATCTCCAAATTTTGACTTATTTTCATAATTATGAGTTTGTATCTTTTCATCTTATAATTATGATTATGAATTATTATCTCCCCAACACTTTCTAATAAATTTGACGTTTTTCATTTTAACTTTTGCCCTAATAATTATGAATTTTATCTCCAAATTTTGACATTCTTTGTCATGAATTTGACTTTTTTTTTATTTCAGCTCGACTTTTATTTGCATAATTATGACTAACCCCCTCCTAATTTTGACTTATTTTCATTTTATCTTATAATTATGACTATCAAACTAATTTGACTTAACTTCCCCAACATCTCAGAAATTTGACATTTTTCATTTCAACTTTTGCCCTCATAATATGACTTTTTATCTCCTAATTTTGACATTCTTTCTCATAAATTTCATAACTTTTTATATCATAATTATGACTTTTATTCATAATTGACTTAACTTCCCCCCTAATAATTATGAATTTTTATCTCCAAATTTTGACTTATTTTCATAATTTTGACATTCTTTGTCATGAATTTGACTTTTTTTTGTTTCAGCTCGACTTTTATTTGCATAATTATGACTAACCCCCTCCTAATTTTGACTTATTTTCATTTTATCTTATAATTATGACTATCAAACTAATTTGACTTAACTTCCCCAACATCTCAGAAATTTGACATTTTTCATTTCAACTTTTGCCCTCATAATATGACTTTTTATCTCCTAATTTTGACATTCTTTCTCATAAATTTCATAACTTTTTATATCATAATTATGACTTTTATTCATAATTGACTTAACTTCCCCCCTAATAATTATGAATTTTTATCTCCAAATTTTGACTTATTTTCATAATTTTGACATTCTTTGTCATGAATTTGACTTTTTTTTGTTTCAGCTCGACTTTTATTTGCATAAGTATGACACCCTTCCTAATTATGACTTTTATTTCATTATTTTGACATTCTTTCTCATAAATTTGACTTTTAATTCAACTTTTTATCTCCCAATTATGACTTTATCTCTCCCAATACTAACTTTGTCTCATAATGTTGACATTCTTTCTCATATCTTTGACTTTTTCATTTAAACTTTTGACCTAATAATTATGAATTTTTATCTCCTAATTTTGACTTATTTTCATAATTATGAGTTTGTATCTTTTCATCTTATAATTATGACTATCTCCCCAACGCTTTCTAATAAATTTGACGTTTTTCATTTCAACTTTTGCCCTAATAATTATGAATTTTTATCTCCTAATTTTGACATTCTTTGTCATGAATTTGACTTTTTTTTATTTCAGCTCGACTTTTATTTGCATAATTATGACTCCCCCCCTCCTAATTTTGACTTATTTTCATTTTATCTTATAATTATGACTATCAAACTAATTTGACTTAACTTCCCCAACATCTCAGAAATTTGACATGTCACATTCATTTCAACTTTTGCCCTCATAATATGACTTTTATCTCATAATTATGACTTTTATTCACATAATTTTGACTTCCCCCCCTCATAATTATGACTTTGACTTTTATTTCATTATTTTGACATTCTTTCTCATAAATTTGACTTTTAATTCAACTTCTTATCTCCCAATTTTGACTTTATCTTTCCCAATACTAACTTTGTCTCATAATGTTGACATTCTTTCTCATATCTTTGACTTTTTTCATTTAAACTTTTGACCTAATAATTATGACTTTTATCTCCAAATTTTGACGTTTTATCTCCAAATTTTGACTTATTTTCATAATTATGAGTTTGTATCTTTTCATCTTATAATTATGATTATGAATTATTATCTCCCCAACACTTTCTAATAAATTTGACGTTTTTCATTTTAACTTTTGCCCTAATAATTATGAATTTTTATCTCCAAATTTTGACATTCTTTGTCATGAATTTGACTTTTTTTTTATTTCAGCTCGACTTTTATTTGCATAATTATGACTAACCCCCTCCTAATTTTGACTTATTTTCATTTTATCTTATAATTATGACTATCAAACTAATTTGACTTAACTTCCCCAACATCTCAGAAATTTGACATTTTTCATTTCAACTTTTGCCCTCATAATATGACTTTTTATCTCCTAATTTTGACATTCTTTCTCATAAATTTCATAACTTTTTATATCATAATTATGACTTTTATTCATAATTGACTTAACTTCCCCCCTAATAATTATGAATTTTTATCTCCAAATTTTGACTTATTTTCATAATTTTGACATTCTTTGTCATGAATTTGACTTTTTTTTGTTTCAGCTCGACTTTTATTTGCATAAGTATGACACCCTTCCTAATTATGACTTTTATTTCATTATTTTGACATTCTTTCTCATAAATTTGACTTTTAATTCAACTTTTTATCTCCCAATTATGACTTTATCTCTCACAACACTGGCTTTGTAGGTCATAATTTTGACATTCTTTCTCATATTGACTTTTTTTTTTTTCCATTTAAACTTTCTCCCTCATAATTATGACTTTGTTTCTCCTTATTTTGACCTTTTGTCTCATAAATTTAACTTTATTTCAACTTTTTTCCCCCATAATTATGTCTTTTTATCTCATAATTATGACTTTGTAAGTCATACTTTGACATTCTTTCTCATATATTTGACTTTTCTTTTGAGAAAAAAATATACAATCATAATTATGAGAATAAACTAAGCTTTCCCCCCTTATAATTATGACTTTCCATCTCATAATTTTGACTTTCTTTCCATAATACGTTTTAATTTCAATTTTTTATTTCACAATTTAGTTTTATGTCCCTCATAATTATGACTTTGTATCACCTTAATTTGACATTCTTTCTCATAAATCTGACTTTTTTATTTAAACTTTTTAATTCATCATTATGACTTTGTATCTCAGAATTTTGAAATTTTTCCTCATGAATTTAACTTTTTTGTATTTCAGCTTTTTATATCATAATTATGACTTTCTATGTCAAAATTTTTTGTGTTTATCTCACAATTTTGACTTTCTTTCTGATAACTTTTACTTTATTTCAACTTTTATCTCCTAATTTAGATTTTTTCCCCTCAATTCTTAGAACTGGTGTGTAGGACGGGAAATAAAAGGATTATTGTTTCATCGGATCTATTTACCTACTAACTGACCTTCAAGCTATTTTAAATCTGCTCTACTAATCTACCTTATTATGTGTACAGTATGATGAAGAGGAAGACTTGAAACTAGACCTTAACTCATCAGGAAAGTATTTATTGAGGGAGTAAATCAGCTGAGAAGTAGAAACATTTTCTCAGAGACTTCTATACAATCACGCTTCTTTCTGCAGCCGCTGGAGTCGCCCCTGCTGGCCGCTAGAGAGGACGCAGGCTTAAGTCGCCCCCTGCTGGCCGCTAGAGAGGACGCAGCTTTAAGTCGCCCCCTGCTGGCCGCTAGAGAGGACGCAGCTTTAAGTCGCCCCCTGCTGGCCGCTAGAGAGGACGCAGCTTGAAAGCGCCCCCTGCTGGCCGCTAGAGAGGACGCCTTCAGCTTGAAGGCGCCCCCTGCTGGCCGCTAGAGAGGACGCAGCTTGAAGGCGCCCCCTGCTGGCCGCTAGAGAGGACGGAGGTTTAAGTCGCCCCCTGCTGGCCGCTAGAGAGGACGGAGGTTTAAGTCGCCCCCTGCTGGCCGCTAGAGAGGACGCAGCTTTAAGTCGCCCCCTGCTGGCCGCTGGAGAGGATGCAGGTTTAAGTCGCCCCCTACTGGCCGCTAGAGAGGACGCAGCTTTAAGTCGCCCCCTGCTGGCCGCTGGAGAGGACGCAGGTTTAAGTCGCCCCCTACTGGCCGCTAGA